GCACTAATATATATATACGAAAAACAAATTAGCCCGAGAACGGTGCGCACATGCCTGTATCTCAGCCTACCCTCGGGAGGCTAGGGCCAGAAGGATCGCTTGAGGCCCAGGAGTTTGAGGGCTTGCTGTGACTAGGCTTCGCACACACGGCACTCACTCTAGCCTTGGCAACAAAGCGAGTAACTCTGTCTCAAATAATAATAAAATACAATAAAAGAATTATATGTATACTCTGGGGGCATGGCTGAGGCAGGAGATGCTCGAGGTCAGAAGTTCCAAAACCAGCCTGACGAAAAGCACAACCCCATCTCTACTATAAATACAAAGAAATTAATTGGCCAACTAATATATTTATAAAATTAGTAGTGGCGCATGCTGTATCCCCAGCTACTTGGGAGGCTGAGGCAGCAGATTGCTAAGCCCAGAGTTTGGGGTTGCTGTGATTGGCCAACTAAAAATATATAGAAAAATTAGCCGGGCATGGTGGCACATGCCTGTAGTCCCAGCTACTTGGGAGGCTGAGACAGAAGGATTGCTTGAGCCCAGGAGTTTGAGGTTGCTGTGAGCTAGGCTTGACGCCACAGCACTCACTCCAGCCAGGGCAACAAAGTGAGACTCTGTCTCAAAAAAAAAATGATTATGAAAAAAAGCCTTCAACAGGTAACCTTGCTACCATGGAAAATAATCTCCAAAACTGGGACCCTCTAGAGGGTCTTGTCCTAGCAAGTACAAGATAAGCTACAAGTGCTCTAATCACAGCAGCTACAACCTGAAGACTACTTAATTCATACCAAAGTGGGAAGGTCAAAGATTTTAAAGTAAAGTGATAAAACAGATAGTTAACTGTCACAGCTAAAGTCAACAGCAGAGTATGAGGTCTTTTAAGTCTTTTCTTAGTAGGTATCTTTCTTCCTTTCTCCTTTGTACTTCAACCTCTGTGTGCATACCTTTTTTTTTTTTTGATACAGAGTCTCACTCCGTTGCCCCGGCTAGAGTGAGTGCCGTGGCGTCAAGCCTAGCTCACAGCAACCTCAATCTCCTGGGATCAAGCAATCCTTCTGCCTCAGCCTCCCGAGTAGCTGGGACTACAGGCATGCGCCACCATGCCCGGATAATTTTTCTATATATATTTTTTAGTTGACCAATTAATTTCTTTCTATTTATAGTAGAAATGGGGTCTCGCTCTTGCTCAGGCTGGTTTCGCACTCCTGACCTTGAGCGATCCTCCCGCCTTGGCCTCCCAGAGTGCTAGGATTACAGGCGTGAGCCACCACGCCTGGCCCCCCTTGCCTTCTCAAATTTTTTTCAATATATCATCATATTGTTCCATACCAAAATGTTACCTCCTCTGAAACTTTCCTCTCCATCCACACATTCAGACACTCAAGCAGAGTTGTGCATTTTCTCCTATCTGCTCCCAAAGACCCCCTGTACGTCTACAATGATCCTTAGAGTTCACTACTTTTTTTTCTTTTTTTTTTTTTTTGAGACAGTCTCACTCTGTTGCCCCGACTAGAGTGCAGTGGCGTCAGCCTAGCTCACAGCAACCTCCAACTCCTGGGCTCAAGCAATCCTGCTGCCTCAGCCTCCCGAGTAGCTGGGGCTACAGGCATGCGCCACCATGCCCGGCTCATTTTTTCTATATTTTTTTAGTTGGCTAATTAATTTCTTTCTATTTTTTAGTAGAGACGGGGGTCTCGTTTCGAACTCCTGAACATGAGCGATCCTTCTCCCAGAGTGCTAGGATTACAGGCGTGAGCCACCACGACCGGCCTGAGTTCACTACTTTGTATGGTGAAATAATATGTATTTGTGGATGGGTATTTCACCATTCATTCTTGTCTTAAATTTAAGAAAATCTACAACAACCCCCAAATTCTAATAGACTCACCAAAACCTTGCATTTATTTTCACATTTTGAGAGAAAGTCTGAGTCAATAATTCCTGACAATTCCACCAGAACCAACTGCTCCTGGAGGAAGAAAGAAGGGTTAACACGCTAGCATTAGCGTGCGAGTGGGCAGGAAGAGGCAATTAACAAAAGAAGCCAAAAATCCCCATTGCAATGGTCCCACCTTTGTGAAAACTGGGCCGTGTTCAAGGAGAGGAAGCAAGCGACATTACGTGAGGTACCTTCCCCGTACTTCCCATTCTAACTGCGGTGTGGCAATTAGGGCTGAAGTCCGATGCTCCCCGGCCCCGCGGGCCCAGGGGCAAGAAGCCGTGAGGCGCCGCGGGGCCTCCCTCCCTCCCGCCGGCTGCTCGCAGACTCCCTTCCCCACTCGCAGCCGGCATGGCCATCACTGCCACCGCGGGGCAAGCTTCCGGCCTAGCGTCTACTACCTCTTCTTCTTCCTCTTCTCTGTCCTCTGGACTCCGCTCCTCGGTTGCAGCCATGGCTCGCACCTTCTCGGCGACTCCCGGCCACTAGCCACGCCCGCCCGGAGCCGCCATCTTGAGTACGGGCAGCCGCTCGCTGTGCAGCTGTGCTCCTCGCCGCGCAAACCACTCCTGCCAGAACTCGAGATGGTGGTCTCTGGCGGGACGGTGGCCGCGGGCGACCTCCCGGCTTGGTGCCTGAGAGCAAGAGAGGCTGCATCCGGCGTCGGCCCGGCAGCCCGCTTGGTTATGAGGAGACCCCTACAAGGGAGGCCCTGCGACCTAGGGAACTGCCGGGCTCCCGGCCCAGCTGGGAGGAGAGGACTGGCCAGGCAGAGGGGATAAAGAAGGTGCAAGAAAATATGGTGTGGGAGGGAAAGGGACAGAGGCCTTGCGTTGATCTGAGTACATTTCTTGGAAAGAAAATTATGTGAGTGCTAATCCTCAGTTCGGCCTCGCTCCAATCCAACTTAACATACTGCCACACTAGAGAAAAACATTTTTTCCCTTGGAGCCAGTGTGTTTTATTACGAAAATAGAATTAAAAGTGCGAAAACAAAACGGTCCTTTCTAATTTAATGAAAAATGTGTCGCTTTTTATTGTTTATTGTTTTCTGAGACGTGCCAATTCAGTAAATTATATATGCTTCACAAGGCCCGGGCTCAAAACTAGCCTGAGTTAAATACAACTCAACGGTGGCAGTTAATGTGTCAAAGGCATTCAGTTAACAGGTAATGAGCGCCTGCTGTGTAGAAAGCCCCGCACTAGGAGATGTAAAAAATATTAATTGAAAGTGGGCTTAGGTTTCAGGCATGCAGGGAGCATAGGATCAAGGAGAGGTAAGTAAATGGACCCAACCAAGTGCTATAAGCGATGCAAGCTTATGGGAATACAAAGAGAATCCAGCATGAAAAGTTTCAAACAATTTTCTTAAAGCACTTTATGGATTTTTATGAATAAAAAATAATTGATCTTTGTACTTTATTTAGGATGATCTAGTGGTTAAGATCATGAACTTTAGGCCGGGCGCAGTGGTTCACACCTGTAAACCTAGCACTCTGGGAGGCCAAGGCGGGTGGATTGCTCCAGGTCAGGAGTTCGAAACCAGCCTGAGAGACCCGTCTCTACTAAAAATAGAAAGAAATTAATTGGCCAACTAAAAACATATACAAAATATTAGCCGGGCATAGTGGCACATGCCTGTAGTCCCAGCTACTCGGGAGCCTGAGGGAGGAGGATTGCTTGAACCTAGGAGATTGACGTTGCTTTGAGCACGGCACTCATTCTAGCCTGGGCAACAAAGTGAGACTCTGCCTCAAAAAAAAAAAAAAGATCATGAGCTTTGGAGTCTAAAATACCTGTCGGGTTCTGCTGCATTATTAGCAGCAAGACTTTGGGCAAGTTGATTATTGTGAGAAGTAAATGAAGTAACACACATAAAATAGATTTAGCATAGTATTCAGCACATAGTAAGCATTTAATGTGCATTGAATGTATTAATATATAAAATTTTCTAGTATTATGGCTTTTGAAAAACATTTTGGTATATATTCTTCCAGACTTCTTTCTACAAAAATACAAACACACTTTTCCCCTACAAAAATGTAATCAAATTGTATATATGTATTTAACTTGCTTTTTTCACTCTATACAATGTTGAGGCTCAGAAAACAACACTCTCAAATGAAAGCCTCAGAATCAGCCTCAGAAGCAAAAGTTTTTCTCTGACCTTCTCCTGCCCTGTCAGTCCCAGTCTCCCCCAGGCTAGCCATGGAAACTAGAATTCCTCTTCCCCAAGCCAGATTATAGAAACCAGAACTCCCTTGTCCCCAAAGCCAGCCATAAAACCTAAAAATGTTACTTTAACTTTTCTTGCGCATTTCTGTGTAAAAACTGGTCATAAAGAAATTATCTGACGTATTTTGTTTGACTGCAGGTCATAAGACCCTCATTCCAAAGAGGGCCCTGACCCATTCCCAGAAGGAAGGAATGCTACACTGAGAGGCCAGAAAGAATCTAAACATACAGTTTTAGACTATTGGGTTTCCCCACTCAGTCTATTAGCATTAGATCATACCCTTTTTGTCCAATTGTATTTCTATAGGGATGTCTATACTTTGTTGAACCTAAGCATAAAACTGGACAATTTCCCCTCTATCTTTGGGTCTTTATTCTGAAGGTATATATTAAATAAATTTGTACCTTTTCTCCTGTTAATCTGTATGTTGTGAGTGATTTTTCAGCAAACCTTCACTGGGCCAACTGGAAAGTTCCTACATCATGGATGTTTTTCCATGATTAATATAGATCGACATTATAATTTTCTGTAGCTGCATAATATTTGTTTTTCTGTTTTGTTTTTTAGTGGGGGGTGGGTCTCACTATGTTGCCCAGGCTATACTCGAACTCCTGGACTGAAGTTATCCTCCCACTTCAGTAGCTGAGACTATACTGTCTTTTTTCTATTTTTTAACAGGTATTTACAATTTGTGGATATTGTAAACAACACTTTAGTAAACACCCTGGTATTGCCCAAATGCCTAATGAAATAACTAGGATTTCATAGCTTAAAAAAAGTATCAGAGGCCGGGCGCGGTGGCTCACACTTGTAATCCTAGCACTTTGGGAGGCCTAGGTGGGTGGATTGCTCAAGGTCAGGAGTTCGAAACCAGCCTGAGCGAGACCCCGTCTCTACCAAAAATAGAAAGAAATTAATTGACCAACTAAAAATATATATACAAAAAATTGGCCCGGCATGGTGGCACATGCCTGTAGTCCCAGCTACTCGGGAGGCTGAGGCAGTAGGATCACTTGAGCCCAGGAGTTTGAGGTTGCTGTGAGCTAGGCTGACGCCATGGCACTCACTCTAGCCTGGGCAACAAAGGGAGACTCTGTCTAAAAAAAAAAAAAAAAAAAGTATCAGAAAGTCATAGATACCTAAAAGAAAAAAAAAGTAGAAAGAAAAGTAGAAACAATACCTAAAAAAAAAGTAGAAAGCTTAAAAAAGTATCAGAAAGTCATAGATACCTAAAAGAAAAAAAAAGTAGAAAGAAAAGTAGAAACAATACCTAAAAAAAAAGTAGAAAGCTTAAAAAAGTATCAGAAAGTCATAGATACCTAAAAAAAAAAGTAGAAAGAATTCTTTTCCAACATCAGTTTTCTCATTTATTAAACAAGGATAAAAATATTTATACTTACTGTGTATTTTGGGCTCAAAAAGCAAAAATTAGATCATATATGTAAAAATATTTCATAAGTTGAAAAATTACATAAATTGTCACATTTGGGGGGGGCAGGGGAGGATAAAGACAATGAAATTCTGGCCAGGCTCGGTGGCTCACGCCTGTAATCCTAGCACTCTGGGAGGCTGAGGCAGGAAGATTGTTCAAGGTCAGGAGTTGGAGACCAGTCTGAGCAAGAGTGAGACCCCGTCTCTACTAAAAATAGAAAGAAATTAATTGGCCAACTAAAAATATATAGAAAAAATTAGCTGGGCATGGTGGCACATGCCTGTAGTCCCAGCCACTCGGGAGGCTGAGGCAGTAGGATCACTTGAGCCTAGGAGTTTGAGGTTGCTGTGAGCTAAGCTGATGCCACGGCACTCTAGCCCAGGCAATAGAATGAGACTCTGTCTCTCACTCTCTCTCTATATATATATATATATGATTGAGGAATTAATAAAATGTAGCTCATAATTATTCTGTTGTATAACTCAATATTACTATATTAAAGACAGAAATAGGAGTTTGCAGGGTTTTGCCCTGAAGGAATGTGTGGACTCAATGGTTCACTTATTAGAGGCTGCTATCATGGGAGAGCTCTCAAATCTCCGATAGGGATGTTTTCCAGGAAGGCTTCCCAGTATCTCAAAATCTATGAGCCTCCCTGTGTCTTGAAAGACAAGACAAGGCAAACATGGCCCACGGGATGGGAAGACAACGAGTGCACTTTGCCCAGACATGTGCCACGGTGGTTATAAGCAACCTGTTTATAGAGATGGGCTTCCTGCTGTCTCCTGTCTGTCTACCTTTAAGTCCACCATAACTAATCAAAGAAATATTGAGTCACTAGACCTCTTTTGTGTTACCTTTGTTAATTGACAACTACCTCTTTAGAAGTTAGCCCCTGAAAGACTTTGTACCTATTTGTTCACCTAGATAGATTAAAAGCCCCTTGAGAGAACTTTTGACCCTAACCCACTACCTGTATCCCCTAGCAACTGCATTCCCTGATATGCCAATATGTTACCCTGACAACTGGTAATTGATGTCTGTGATTATAAAAACCTGTATGAATCTAACCATATTGCTGGCATTTATGGAGATACGCAGTCCCCTAGGAACTTCCTGCTGTGTTATATCTGACCTTTTTATATATATAAAACTATATACCTTAGTCTCTGTGTATTCTTTTATTTCTCTCTGTTGCCTATCAATTTCCTTATCCTCTGTGGTAACCCCTATCTTAGGGACTTGGCTCCATGGGAAGAAGTAGCTAATCTCCTCTTGGGCCTGCCTCAAATACTACTCTCACCCTGCAAATGTAATAACTCAAAATGTCCCTTTCAAATAAATAAGCCTCATACTTCTAGCCAAGGTTATTATTGTTTGGCATTTTTAATGATTTTAATTTTTATTGCTTTTATTTTTAATGATTTACAAAAGGATAGAGATTTATTATAAAAGTAAGCTTTCCATCCCTGTCACCCAACTCCTTTCCTATAGGCAACCATTTTTACTAGTTTCTTATGTATCCTTTCAAAGGTATTCTGTGTATTTACAAAAACGTGTATACAAAATCTGTAAGGTATCTTTAATATTATCATATGGTTGGCCGGTGCAGTGGCTCACGCCTGTAATCCTAGTACTCTGGGAGGCCGAGGTGGGAGGATCACTCGAAGTTGGGTGTTTGAGACCACCCTGAGTAAGAGTGAGATCCTGTCTCTACTAAAAATAGAAAGAAATTAATTGGCCAACTAAAAATATATAGAGAAAAAATTAGCCAGGCATGGTGGTGCATGCCTGTAGTCCCAGCTACTTGGGAAGCTGAAGCAGGAGAATCACTTGAGCCCAGGAATTTGAGGTTGCTATGAGCAAGGCTGATGCCACGGCACTCTAGCCTGGGTGACACAGTGAGACTTTGTCTCAAAAAAAAAAAAAAAAAAAAACAGAAAGAAAGAAAAAAGAAATTAGACAACTAAATATATATAGAAAAAATTAGCCAGGTTTGGTGGCACATGCCTATAGTCTCAGCTATGAGGATGCTGAGGCAATAGGATTGCTTGAGCCCAGGAGTTTGAGGTTGCCGTGAGCTAGGCTGACACCACACAGCACTTGAGCATGGGCAACAGAGCAAGACTGTCTTAAAAAAAAAA